TAGGCCTGCAACTAAAATGTACCATTAGCCATTAAAAACTTGCAACAATACAACATTGCTAGGAGGCAAGCATGGCTGGGACAAAAATATATATATATATATATATCGTTGATATATTATTCTTTAGATTCTAAGCATATTGAATCAGTTTCAATAGTACTTTATAAACACCAGGGCAGTTTCAAATGGTATCACAGTAGCAGTAACAAGCTGATATGCAAACTCTAAAGCAGATAGATATTAACTTTGTTTGGAAATTGCAGATTATTGCAGGGTGTACAATTAATTGGCCTACATGGAGAACTAAGCTGGCTATACAGTTACTAATTCTGAACTTGGCTTATTTATCTATATCATAGTAAAACTTTCAAGTTCTTTTCAAGGTGATATCAGCACCTAAACTGCTAAATCCTGTGGCGATCAGTAAAAGTTAGATTCCTAAATATATGTTTTTTGAAAATATAAATCTCCTCAATTACTCAGACATTTTAAATAATTTCACTTAAATTGTTTTTAGTAGAAGTACCTTAAAAAAAACACAAACAAAAACAAACAAAAAAAGTTTGAAGTTAAAAAATCTGAGTTTTACTCAGTACCTACAGGAATTTTGTTTTTATGATAAAATCTGAGAAAGGAACAAGAATACATGAATAATAATGATATGCAGCTGCACTAATGAAGGTATTCATGAAATTGTTTTGATCTGTGCTTTCTGAGCCTGTTTGATTTACTAAGGTTTCAGTTTTATAGAACATAAATATACTGTAGCTTATACTGTGCAGTCTTTAAGTAACGCTGATGATTCATTGATAAATTCTATCTTAGAAATCACAAAGCTCTCAGATACTCTTCATAATAATCTCACTTCTTAATCTTTTATTATGATATATTGATTGTCTTTGTTTCTGTAACCGTCTGGTGTCAACATGGTGTTTTTAAGAGTACTCTTTCTTCCCAAACTAGCAAAGATCTGAATGACTGAAGTCCACCACTGTATTTCATATATTTTAAATTAACCTATACTTTCTCCTTTAAAGTAGAAAACATACAGATGAATGACAAAGTGATATCTATTCTGTAGCTAAATTATTAGTATAGCATAGCGTTAGTAGCAGATACAAACAAAGATGAAAAGATCTCATCCTGTCAGGAGACACACAAACTATCAAAAAATCTTAGGCATATGGCTAATGACATCTTAAATCTGGAAGTTAATACAGCTCATGTTCTAAGTACTTATGGGTTCCACAGATTCTTGCAAAATCGGCAGTTCCCCTACAAACTCTTAGCGTTTCTCATTTCTTTACCTGTGAGCTTTGTTTACTTTATTTTTTTTCCTTATACTTATGGAAGAAATGAAATTATGTAGGGGGAATTCTTCTAATGCAAAAGGCACATGTAGAGCATGGTTTTATAATTTTAAAATGTCTAAATAAATGATATGTAAGTCTTGAAGTTCAATTAGTGAGAAAAAAATAGTTTTAGTTTAATTTTATTTCTGTACTTTTGTCCAAAACCAAACCTTTGAGTGTCCACATCCTTCTGAATTACATCTAACAGTCTTCAGTTCAAAATCCAGTGTTTGTTAATAGGACAATAAGAACCAATATACAAATCTAGGGCAAGCAGATGCTTAGTGAAGATAGATTTTAGTTTCTAGTTTCCTAGAAGTTAGTGTGAACAATGAAAAGTCTCTGAGATTAAACAAATGGCATTAATTTAGTTTATTTTAAAAGACTAGAGTGACTCACAGAAGAGAGTTCTAATACATAAAAGGCTGCTGCAGAGGGGAAAAGAATAATTAGTTCCCTTCACCAGGTAAAAATGAGAAGCTATAGGCTTAAGTTACAACAAGGGAGATTCAGTTCTGAGGCAAACCTCGCAGAGCATGGCAAAGCATTGTAATAGAGAGGGAAGTGGTGGAGCCTGTTGTCTTGTAGCTGTGTTTTTCTGTGGTTACCATAAGAGGTTAACATGGCTGTCAGATTGCTGCTGAATAAGGAAGCTTCAGAAGCTTCAATTGAAATAGTGGTATTTTATCTTCCTTTATTGTATAAAGAAATGTGAGATATCACTTATTTTGGAGTCCATGCAAAGTGTCTCTGTTGGCATCCCAAAGATTATGTGTTAGAAGGATGTACTTCACTAGTTCCTTTTTCCAGGACAAACAAGTTCCTCAAAATGATAAATGACTTGCTAACATTTTTGAAGTGTGTTAAGGCAGAGAGACATTTAATTTCATTACTGAGTGAGGGAGAAAGTCTTCTGGCCATAATTTCTTAAATAGGTTGCCTCAAAATTACAAGGCTGTGAGAAAATTGTTTTAATTTTTTCTCCTGCTGTGGCTGCCTCATTCTTTTCCTTTCTGATATTTTTGCCACCTTTATATTCTGGACTTAATTTTAAAGTTAAGTTTTTCTTTCCTAGTTCCCAGCATTTGGACTGTATACAATGGAGTCTTAGACACATATTTCAGTCACCTCGCATACTGATCCAAGGTCCTTCAAAATCCGTTAGTAAAAAATTGGGAAATCTGAGGAATGACACAGAAACCAGATTTGTTGTCTCTTGTCTTGTTTCATGCTGCACAATACTACAGAACACTAATAGCTTTTAGTAGTATCTGAGCTTGCTTTCAGGCATTCACTAGTTATTAGCCTTGGAGGCCAATTAGTCTGAATTTTCAGAAAAAGGAACTTGTTTTCAGACTGTCCTCTGACTTTCCAGTCATACTGTGTCCTTTATTTGCTATTTTGAATTGTAAGGGAAGAGCCAGGTGGTCTACTTCCTTTATTCAACATTAGGGAGTGATTATTGGGTGTCCTGTATTTTTAAAAGGGAATAGGCTCCTGCTGTTTCTGAGCCACCTCTTTTTCTTTTTCTCCTGTGTCTGCAGTAGTACTGTTCTTAATTCCAGTTTCCAGAACTCTACAAATTACCTTGAAATCAACCCACTCTGCATCAAACTAATTTGTTACTTTCATGGTTACATTTCCATGTATTATATCTTGCCAATCTTCTACCCCAAGCTGGCCTTTCAGAGCCATCCTCCAGTAACGGAAGGAAAAGCAGACTTCCAGCAGAAAATGACACATAAGCTAAATGGTGTGATGACACAAAATAATACAAAATGTAAAGTTCTTAAGTTCATCCTTGAAGCTGAAAAGTGCAAGAGGTCAGGAGAATACAAAATTGGATGTAGCTACAGATTGTAATTGTTCAGTTTAATGGGAAATAAGAGCATCATTCTATTAAATATAATTCTGTTCTTATTCTGAAGGGCTCCTGTATATAGAGATAGTGTGAAGGTGACAGAGGTTAGGCTACATCTTAATGCTGTCTGTATTGTGTCTCCCCATTGTGCAGAGCTCACAAACATTTTTGAGATTGTGTATGTCTCTGGATATGTAAACCTATTTAAAATAGAAATATCCTAGTTTAAAACCTGAAAATTTACCCTATCTTTAGTGCTGGTTTGATCCTTTAATTGCACTATGCCGAAGTTAACTTATAATTCATGTTCACTGTGTAGTAAAGTTAAACATGACAACAAATTGTTCCATCTTGAGGTACTTCTCTGGAAAGCTTAGGGTATTGTTTAGATATGTAAAATGGAAGTGAACCACAAACATGATTATCTTTCTATGGACAGGACTCTGCAAGCTAAACTTAAGGTTGAAAATTGCAATTGCATGGTTTGGTGTCAGGATGTGTGTAAACTGTGTGTATAAACAGATAAATAACCCAGCAGCATTGTATAAGGTAGACAAAGCCCATGGCACACTTATAAGGGGAGAGTAGGTGGATAAAATTTATTAACGTAACAATTCTGAATCCATGAATGTGATAGATCTGAGAGAGGTGACTGAACTTCTTTATTCATTTAAGAATGGAAAAACTGATTTATGGGGTTGCATGTGCTTTCTTACTGTGGAGAGTGAAGCTAAAGGAGGACAATTTAACCATTTATTGTGTAGTGGCAATATGCACACTTTTCATTGTAGTGAGTAGTTCTACTCAGATGAGAAGCAAAGACGTTTTCAAAGATATATCAGTTCTCTCATCAGCTTAAAAGTCTTACACTGTTTTGTATAGGCTGGATTTTGAGAATGCTTCAAAACATTAGGGATAACTGCAGCTACTCATTTGTGAAACATTGCCTTGAGAGGACAGCATGTTTCAGAGAGTTTTTCCAGGTGTACTAAGATATTGGCTGTAATCCACACAGCTTTCAGTTATTTGGACCATGCCCTCTCCTTCTTACTTGTACACAATTATGAACATAAAGAGTTGGCACTAAATCTATCTGGATCTGAAAAGGAGGATCCTCTTACCAGGGAGATTCCTGTAAGCGTGCATAGACTACTCCTTCCCTCTTTCCCAGCCACCTGCTTTGCTTATGAATATGTGAGTTTTATATTCATCCTGGAAAATGAATCTCTTCTCACCCTCTCTTTCGTATTCCTTGAGAGTAGATAACAATGCAGTGTAACTGTGTGAGAGCTATTGTGGATTTATTATAGTTGGTAAATATTATTATGTATCTGTTGGACAGTCAATTATATGTGGCATATATTGTAGATTTTACATTTTGCCTGCTTTAAATTTTTTTTAAGTGCCTACAGCAAGGGATAGGTGGTTAAATTGTAATTTCAAATAAATAAGTACATTAAAAAAATAATTGAAGGAGGCAGTTTCAGATAATAAAGAGAACTGGCTCCTGGGTAAAAAACACTGTAAGTCTGGGAACAGCAGAGTCTTTAATAAAGGAGAAGAAATGAAAGGCCCAAAGAGTTTCTTCTCTGGAAAAAGAAGAAAAAATAAAAGGCAAAAAAAAAAAAAAATCCGAAGACCCAAACCTCCAATAAACTAACAGGATTTAACAGGATTTATGCTTGATGAACCAGAAACTTCATTATATATCATACAAAACTAATTACAGGGGAACACTTTATTTACCTCTAATTTCTATTTAATAGCCACTGCACTTGTCATTGCAGGTATGGTTACAAAAGTATGGCTACCTTCCACCAACTGACCCCAGAATGTCGGTGTTGCGCTCTGCAGAAACCATGCAATCAGCTATAGCTGCCATGCAGCAGTTCTATGGCATTAATATGACAGGAAAAGTGGACAGGAACACAATTGAGTAAGTAACTGGTACTGAACTGCTCTTGACTTTTCTGTTGCAGGAAGAGTAAAATAGAAATGGAAAAACTATATGGCAAATGAAGTAGGGTGACCCGGATATCCAAATAGCATTGCATATTCAGATGGGGAGCAAAAATGTTTCTGCCTCTCCTTGACTTCTTTTATTTTCATCTTGTTCTGCTTTATTTTATAATAGGAGATAGTCAGCTGTCAACTGCTGCCTGCTTTTGTGCCCATGATTCTAAAGAAAATGTTTCAGGCTTAATTAAAGAAAAGGAAGATTATCCGTGTAGAACTGGAGAAATCTTTTTGAAACTGCCAAGAATTCACTAAATGTTTCACAGTGGAAAATCTTTAGTGTAAATTTCCTTATCCTCATTACACACAAAGACACACAAAAGATAGCACATTCCACTGGTTCATTCATTTCATGGTTTCCAGTAACAAAAGACCACGTGTGCTAATTTTCACGTGCAGTAAAACTGGATTAGTTTTGCATGCCCTCTGCAATTCTGGTCATGTAAAGGAGGCAGCATATGATTTTGCTGAGAGACTAAACATGGCCAAATGCTGTAGAAGGGGAGAGATTGAAAGACTCTTCCAAACGGCTCTATGCTATGACAAAATTTAGAAATGTGCAAAGATGCAAAATAGAATGAGTATAATAGAAGATGCAAAGTAGAATGAGTATGAAGAAAACTTATTTGAGGGTAAGAGTTGAAGTGTTGGACTCATTCCAGGTAAAATGCAATGAAGGTAATCTCATGATTTTAGAAGAAGTAACTTTACCTGAAAAGCAAACAACAAGATAACACTATAGAACAATAACAAAATAACATATCCAGCATCACTTTATTGACATATGTTTCTACTGCTTCTCAAAAATGTTTTGTTTTGTTTTGTTTTTTGGGGAAATCCTCTTTAATTTCCCACTTACTAGCCTCAATCTGATGTCATCTTTTGTTATTCTTTTCTGGCAAAGTAGCTGACATGAATGATTATTCAATCATTTATGGTTTAGGGAAGAGTCTACCTAAAATGCTGGCAGGATTGGAAAAATCATTTTATTCCACTGGCACATGCATTATTGCATTGAAAAGCAATAAAGCAAAACAGATTTTAGGGCTGCCCTAAAGGGAGGTGAGTTGATCAGACATCCCTCAGTTCTGGAATTTAAAGGACCTTAGAACAGACATTGCAATAGCAGTAGGCTCAAGAAACGCCCTGTGAGAGAGCCATGTGCAAAGATATGTTTATGGTCCAGCCTGCAGGTTGTAAAAACTGGGCTCTTTATTCACCTTGTGATTGATCTTTGAGGGGAGAGTGCTACTACACCCAGCACTAGTAGTCTTATAAAGACACATTAGTGGCAGCTTTGTAAGAAGCAATATATTTCACTAAAAGGAAAATGATCTGTTCAATTAGCAGTACAGAGAACCTAGAAAGTGGTAAACGAAAGGAAAAGGGGAGGCCATCTCTTGCTTTAGAGCATCAGTCAGCAAGTTAAAAACAAAAACTAAAACAAACAAAAAATATTTAATTGCAAAAGGAAGTACTTTATGTTTTCTAAACTGGGAGTGTTGGGCAGCATGCCAGAAAGATTGTCTTCATTTCTTCTGTTAAATAAGAGACAAAGAATACAGCAGTCCAAAAAACCCATTTTATAGTTCGGTGGGTCTGAATCTTCCAAACACGAACCTTCCATTCTTTTCATACATATTTTTCTTCTCCACAGAAAGATAGACTAAAGCATGGTGATTCTTAGGTACATATAATTAATGCTTTATGAATTCCATGTTTACTTACACATTTGGAGTTGTATTAACTTGAGCCAAGTTGGGAACAAAACTGATTCTTAAAGACTTGTCACATTTGCATTAGTCTTGAGAAAAAAAAAAAAAAAATTAAACTAAAGTGTGGCCTCGAGTTACCATCAGTTAACAGCACTGAATATTCTAGTGAGAAGTGGCAACATAGCAAAGGATATATATTTTTTTAATTGTTCATTTATGGCAGTGATTTGTAAACATTTGAAATAATTTTCACTTTTGTCTATATATAAAGAGAATGCATACTCTCTTTTGACTGGAAAAGTTTGACAGTTTACCATTTGCTTCTCTTTGATTATTATGTTATAATCTCATGCAATGCTGGGATTACAAAATAAAGACTGTAGCAGGAACCTCATAGAAACATGTGCTCATCTTGTGCATACCTGCTTCTTTAGCATGTCTGGAGAAGAGATTACAGTCTGCCTCTTAGTCTGCAGAAGGATGAACAATTAAAAGAAATTACTATAGTAATTTGACAGGAATCGACTATGGCAACATGAGCAGAGAAATAATGTCTTGCAGCAGCAGCATCAAAGTCTCCTGGAGGAAATTTGTTGTTCTGAGAAACAGTTAATCCCTTAATGAGTATTTCGGCATGCATAAATATGAACATCTTGCCCCTACTACTCATAATTCACTTGTTTTTGCTGTATTTTTAAATTCGTTTCCCAAGTGATGTGAAAAAAATGATACATGTTTTTTGCTGGGGATATGGAAATATGAGTGGTAGAAATAGATACCATCATAATGACATAAAAAATGAGGGACATTCTGAATAGAATTATTAGAATGGAAAATGAAGTCAAAATACTCTGATATTTGCATGGGGTGCAACAATATTTTACGCAACTCGTTCATATATTACCAAACTTATCAATGACAATGACCCATCAATCCAAAAAGAAAATTATGAAAATGGACCCACAGTTGGCTTCTTGGTCTTTCACATTCCTGAAACAAACATATGAAGCAGAGGAAGAGTAGTTGCTGTCTTTTCTTAAAACTTATACATGTTTATTTCCAACATGTGTTTTGCAGTTTAAAGGGGTACATTACAAACCTCTTGGTATACAAATAGAATGGTAGTATATAAGATGCTGAATAAATCTCTGTGATAGTAACAAAACATTCATTTTATTTTAATGTCATCCTTTACAAATAGGTGGCAAATGTGGTCACTTTAGTTCTCAGATGAACTTATAACCAAGTTCCATATATATATAATATATATGTATAACCAAATTATAACTTATAGGTTATAATTAAAATATGTTTTATTTCAATGAGCAGTGAATTATAAATTTTGAGCTGTTGAAGTCATATCAGTAGTCTGTTCTATTGGTTGTTTTGTGTTGTTTTGTGTGTAAATGTTGTTTTATGTGAAAAAAGTATATATAAATTCTTGTTGCCTCCGCAAACATTCAGTGCCTTGCTGAGAAACCATCCTCAGTAAGAGTGTTGAAATACCTTACACCATTTTTTAACTGTTTTCTGTTACATAGAGGAGTGCCTGTACTGATAGTAAGAAAACAATAGGGAAAAGTAAAAACGTTTAGAAAACACATCTCTCTTCACAAGAAGTTTCAGGGTGCCATTAAGAAGTTATCTGAAATCAGTTTTTCCAGCCACTGAGTCAAATTGGATTTTTGGTGTTCTCCCTTTTTATTTTCCTTTTGTGGTATTAGAGTTTGTTTGTTTGTTTGTTTGTTTTTTCCTAAAAGACCACTTCCAACCATTTAGTTTCTCTGACTCTCTCTCTCTATATATACATATATAATAACCATTGTACAGTTTTGATGAGGAATAAGCAGGGAAAATAAATAAAAGATGGCTGTCAAGAGTTGGACTTGATGATCCTTAAGGGTCCCTTCCAACTCAGGATATTCTATGATTCTATGATTCTATGATTTTTTAATGTTTTGACTCTGCTTTAAAACAAAGTACGACTTTTCACAATTTTTGCTTTAAAACAAAGTACGACTTTTCACAATTTTTGCTGAAGACGGTGAGGAAGGAGAAAGATTTTCTTCCTCTTATCCCCCAAAGATATGATAAGGCTTGAGTTATGAAAAGTTCATTTCTCTCTCCTGGAGAAACGTTATAATTTTGCTGCATATTTTTATTTTAATCTTTTCAAGTTTTCTGTGAGTCTAAGCTGTTTTAGTTCTCTTGACATATATAGCTCTTCAAGCTTTAAACTAATGGACCTAAGAGAAGAATTTGATGTAAGATTTGATGTCTACAGATAGAGTACATTAGTCACAATTAAGCCTCTTTATTGAGTACCAATAAAATATTAATATTGAAGGGCTGCTGCATAAAATATTTCCACAAGTTCGGAAACAAACATATGAAGGAGAGGTAGGCAGTCATTACCAGTGTGCACCTTTTAAAATAAAATAATATATATATTAAATAATTAAATTCCAACACACAATCAAGAACATGGGAAGCATTGATCATATTATGCTATAAGCAGTATATTCAGAAGAAGATAAAAATGAATGTTTTATACATCAATTATCCCTCAGATGGAAGAGCACATAACACAATAAGTATCCACAGATTTCATGAGCATTAATGATTACGGACAGAAGCCTTCCCCACAGTCAGAGTAAGACCTGTTAATGTTTAAGAAACTATTTTTAGCATTAAAAAAAAAAGAGAAAGTGAAAATTATGTGCCAGAGATTGTTAATATTTTGCCTCATTTCTGTACTAGAAAGGACTTGACTCCATTACTAACAACTTAATAATTTTTTTAAAACTCCGACTGCCAAATTTAGCTCAATTAGTATCTGGGTAATAGAGCAGGTGACAGTCCAACACTTCAGCTGCATTAAACAAAGAAAATTACATCTTTCCTGAAATTTTACATGAAGATAACTTGCTGAAAGCTAGTGAGCCACTTGTGAAAAGGCATCCATTTACATTTACATTGGGATTCATGCTGTGTACAAACCACAGTCCCAGTCATTGTATAACCAACAGTAAGAGTATCAACAGGCCACACAGAATGACAGCATGGAACATCCTCTGCCCGTTCTAACAAGGATGAAAGCTTGACAGGCTGCACAGCACTTCTGATAGGTACATGCCACTTCAAAGTCAATGGAAAAACAAATTGTGACTGCTTAAATTTCAAAATTTGTTCAAAATTTGGGACTATTGTTTTGTTTAAAATTGTTTGTTAGTATTTCTAGTAAAATAATATTATCACAGGAATCACAGGATCTCTAGGTTGGAAGAGACCTCAAGATCATCGAGTCCAACCTCTGACCTAACACTAACAGTCCCCACTATTATGTTGAATTCTGAGTCCATGCTACCTACTAGTCTTGTTTTGTTTGTTTGTATGTTACTTGTTTGTTTTGGTATTAAATCTTAAGCATAAAAAATTTTATTCTAACTTTTTCTGGAGGAGTATTGAACTTTGGAAGTAACTTGAAAGCTTGTTTCAGTAACAGCTTGTTTGTTTGTTTGTTTTTATTATTATTCATCTGTGTGTGTGTGTGTATGTGTTTCTTTATTGCTTGCTACTTTCTTTTGATGTAGTGCTGATCCTGTGAAAACAGGCTGAGAGAATTGATATTGTTCAGCCTGGAGAAGAGAAGGCTCCGGGGAGGCCTTATAGTGGCCTTCCAGTACATAAGGGGGAGCCTACAGAAAAGCTGGGGAGGGACTCTTTGACAGGGGATGTAGTGAAATCCATGGATTTATGAAAACAAGTGTGTCTGATTTCACTGAAATTCAAATTTCATTATCCCATCTCTAAAAAGTCATTCCATATGCAATATAGTCTGTCCCGTAGTAGTAGTTATCAAACTTCCAATATGCATCTCATTCCTTGAGTACAGAACTGAAGAATCAGTGATTTCATTGAATTATTTACTATACACATATATATACACTAGTACTATATATATGTATATATATAAAATAGTCCTTTGCATTGCAACCATTCCACATTTTGTTATGAACAAAACAAGAACATTTCTTTATTATACATATATTTAACTAAGAATACCTACAGGAAAAGATTAAATAAATTGGCTGGTTTCTTTTTTTGTTTGTTTGTTTCTTTAATTATTTTTTTTTAAGTTTTGTTAACTGTACATATTTTAAAAGTATCTATATTCTAATTAGATGAAATTTCAAGTGACTTATCATCCAATCATAAAGCTGGTGTGTGTATATATTTACAAAACAATGCTTAAATGCCAGTTTAATGGTCAGAAATTCATCCGTGCAAGCCTGAAGAACATTACCATTGTTGTGGTATATACCATAGGAAAACTGCAGCTTTCACATCAGTAATTATCTGGCATGAGTAAAGTCAATGAACTGGAAAAGTATCAGAGGAGTCTTTTACTTATATAATATAAGTCTTATAAGTCTTTTACTTATACAATAAAAATGTCTTTAATCTTACTATCATCCTGGTTGTGCTGCAGATATTCAGTTCACATAAAATCACCATTTCTGCTGAGGTTTGTTACTTCTAATCAAACTAAAGCATTTATACTTCAAGCAAGAAACAGTTCTTTTACTAACACTTCTGTTGAACTTATTCTTTTGAATAAGACATTATTGTAATTTTGATAATTTGGAATGCTGACAAATTTGAGGTGTTTGAAATATTTGAATACTTTAAAACTTTGAAGGCCATTGCAAAAACAGCATTTCTGTTGAAAGCCTAGTGCTATGGAAGTCGTTGCTTTTGTTGTTTGTATATTAGATATTTTCAACTTGATTCTGTGCAGAACTTCAAATATTCTTAAGCAGAATTCTTGTTAGATATCTCCGCTAGTTATTTACAGTTGTGAATAGAGCTGGTACCCTTCCTTGTGTGGAAAGACAGTGACATACATGTAGTAGGAACATTTAATGAAGATCTTAAAATTATTATGATGTTAGAATGTTTCAATATGCTGAATTAAAAAAAAAATCTGGCAGTAGTAACTTGTGTATGTATAAATTTGTGTATGTATACTTTAACTTCACCTCCAGTAAGCAAGCCAGTAACACAGATAAGAATTACTTTGAATGAATCAGAATAAATTACTAATTCTGAAGCACTTGTGAAGTCTTTGTTGAGAAGTTGTAGCAAAAGAAGGGAAAAAAAAGGGGGGGGGGGAAATAAAAACAAATAAATTTGTTTCTGAATGCCATCAGATGCAATGAAGCTCCACAAAATATACATCAAGTAGCAAGATAACTGTTCCTCTTGTTAGTCATTTTTGCTTGTAGACACAAAATTGATCATACTCTAACTTCAAAAAAAAGTTTGATATCTTTATTAATTGAGTGCAGTGATTACGATTTTTCTTTCATGCTGTTTCAACTGTGGTGCTGTTTCTTGCAGCTGGATGAAGAAGCCTCGATGTGGAGTGCCTGACCAAACACGAGGTAGCTCTAAATTTAACATTCGTCGGAAACGATATGCGTTAACAGGACAGAAGTGGCAGCACAAACATATCACTTACAGGTACTAAAAATACTAATGTAGATTTATAAATCTTACTAGTAGCACTGAATTTTAATTAAAAGTGAATATGAGGTTCTGAAATATTTTTCAATGTTTCAAGAAGTTTGTTATTAATACGTGATGTAAAAATGCTGATTTGAATACCTCTTGGATAAATACATATGTAGTACCTAAGAACCAGGGGATTTTCCTGGATTAAAATTGCATGCATTTAGTAAGCACTAAATTCTCAGAAGCTTTCAGCATCTAATTCACACCCAGTATGTCCTTAACCTTACCTTACAACCCTCTTGGCAGCTTCTCAGAGAACATTTCTCTGAAAGTAGGAGCACTCTAATGAAACTGAGATCTCTAATTTAAGTATGTAAAATAGGTTATTGAAGGAAGTCAGTCTCCGTAAAATGTAGGTGCCTACAGGTCTGTTCTGAAGCACCAGTGAATTTGATTACATTTTGGTGAGTCACTGACCTAACCATTTCCTGCTTACCCAGCAATGAGTATAGGGATACATGGGGGCTGTACATCTTTGTAACTCATGAGTCTGGCACATACTTTACACAGTATATTGCCTATTCTGTAAAATCTGATCTTTCCAGGGAAACTTAGATCCATACAGTGTACTTGCCAGAGTTCTGTCAACCAAAGTAAATGTCATGTATGTAATGTAGTATGCATAGTTTGTCAACAGACTGATTCCCACACAGCCTGTTTGAAAATTTACACATCCCCTCTGTGATTTCTGTACTATCTAACAAGAGTAAGTTACAAGGGATAAACCTGTTTTTAAATTCACTGACTGTTACCTATATTCATAACCCCATATAAGCATAAGATTTTAAGTACATAAGCTCTAATGGTCATATAGACTGATCTTCATGGAACTGAGAAGAGAGTTTTATTAGTAACACTATATCAATTCTGTGGCTTATGTTTGAATTGTAGAATTTTATTTAAGGCATTAAACGCTGATATTACTTCAAGCAATAGAGAACTGACTACCTTGTGATTAGTATGTTGCACTGGCTTATGTTCTTTATTGTTAATGTAACAATAAAGAAATAAGAAAATATAATGTAATAAGAAAGCACTTCTATCTGCATTTTAAAATTTAAACATAGCGTGTACATGTATGCATACATATGAAAAGAATTCAGGGTCATCTAAAAATGCTTTTTTTTTTTTTTCCCATCTCATTTGTACTGAGTCCAATTTTCTATTTCATTACAGGATTTTTTACAACAGTCTAAATCTTACCACTTGTTTATCTTCCATCACCCAAAGCATTCATCATAATCCCAAACAAGGGTGCCCAGTTTTAAACTATGTGGCAACTATCTAGTAATCTCTCTCACTTTGAGGAATTTATAGCAGTTCTTTACCTCCTGCCTTCCCTTCCCTCTTGTAAAATGTTCAGTCTCTCATTTTGACAGGACCTCCAGTCAACAAGAGCTTTAAAGTGAATAAACCTGTAATACTTTTGTAGTGAATTACAGACCAAAAGACATTTAAACTAGAAAAGCCAAGTTGCCTTAGAATAATATATATATATATTATTTTTTTTTCTGAATAAAGGAAATTCAAAGCAACTAACAACAGGAAAAAAAAAAAAGAGAGAGAGAGAGAAATAAAATAGAGAAATAAAACTCCCATTATTTTGTCCTTCCTAGTGGTTCCCTGCTGACAAGATTAATTACAGTTAACTCAATGACCCTTTAAGTTGCTTTGTTCCCTAAAATTTTGAACGTATCTCTACCATCACGTCTGCTCCATTTTTCTCGGTGCTAGTCTCTTTGTAACCTGCAGATTTCCAGCTGCATTCTGTTTCTGACTAGTCAAACCTTGTAGTCTTAACTGTCTAAGTTTAGGAACACCTCCAAAGGAAGGATAATTTCTTTTTCATATCAGTGTCTGCTACCTCTTCAACTTTTCTGGAAAGAATAGAACAGAAACACAGAATAAACAATAAAAAAAAATGCCATCAATCAAGGTAGGGTTGTGAGACACTGGAACAGGTTGTCCAGAGAAGTTGTGGATACCCCATCCCTGGAGATGTTCAAGGCCTAGCTGGATGGGGCCTTGGCCAACCTGATCTAGTGGGTGGCATTGCTGCATATGGCAGGGAGGTTGGAGTTAGATCATCCCTTCTAACCTGAGCCATTCTATGATTCTATCATTCTGTAAGGTTATCTTATCGTAGCATTTCACTCACCTGCTTTTCTGAACAGGAAGGTTAACTGCAAAAAAAATGTATTGCATTGACATTACTTGAAAAAGAGCCCAATAAAGATGAGCAGAACATGAACCTTAACAGCAGCTCATAGCAGGTGTTCTTAGAAGTTTATTTATTTATTTATTTATTTATTCTTTTATTTTATGTTTTTCTGGGGAGCTTTGACTGGGATAGAGTAAGGCAAACTTTTCAAATGCTAGATGCTTATTTCTAGAAAGTATTTAATATAAAACTGTAAACGTATAAAGTTTTGTTGGGCTCTGTGAAATTCACAGATGTAGAGTTTTTTCTATGTATGATCAAATTGGTGCAACTCTGATGTTGAGGGGAGCACGCTGAAGGAGTTCAAAAGCTACATTTACCACTTACTATCTCTCTAGCTAGAGGATATCCTGGATGCTGGATTTAAATGAAATAATTATCACTTTAGGCAAAATATCAAACCATCGTTTGAAAAAACAGAACTGAGATCACATATAAATGCATTTTAATCTGTGTCTACTTGTATTTTCAGTCTAGATTTTTTTTTTTCTTTCTTTCTTTTTCCCCCAAGAATTGCTCCTGGCACCTGTTAAATTTAAATGATTAAATGTTGTTAAGAATATTTTTCCCCTTAGATTGTCTCTGTAATCACAGATAAGGGGATCAAAATGGATATACATGCTACTTACACCACTTTTTTCCTGCATTTCCATGTTTTCAATTTGTAATATTTCAGGCTAGGAAGTTCAGCTCAAATTTCAAGATGGAGCTTTAAATAAATCATTCACCAATATCATTTGTGTTAATTGCATCCTTTCTGGCCACATATTACAGTTTTAGCTTAGATGATCATTAGTCTTAGACAGCCATATATCCACAGTCAGTGTCAATATGCAGAATTCCAATATTTTTAATGATAGCATGGAATGGATATTTTGCTGCATTAGTTATACTTTCTCTCCTTCAGGGAATGCAGCTTTCAAATTATTTGAACTGGTGAATAGGGTGGTTTTTTTAGAATTCCTGTTTCTAATGAAGTTACACAGCAATAGTAGTTCTTGTATCTGTTCTGTGTGGTATAGTTCATGCTTGCATACCTTGTAAACATTATTTATACTTATGTATTATTTATACTTCTCCTATATACTAATACAACTTTTACGAAAGGAGAAACAGAAAGTGATTAACCTTTTTAAACAGCCATAAGCATATAGGACTAGTGAGAACTAGCTCCATTACAGAACAAGAAAGATCTTAATGGCAAAGTCTTGTCTCTTAGTGTTTTAGACTGTATCAGATTACAAAACAATCTCTGACTGAACATAATATAGATTGAGAGAAGAAATTTATGAAACCTATTAAGGGATTTTTTATTTTTATTTTTTTTAAGGTGATGTTTACAAAGACACTTGTAAGTCTCTCTGAAAAAGCAATCACCTTCTCTGTTGCTAGGGAAGTAAATCACCCAGTATTTAAAAGGAGTAAGAATGTGAATCAATAAACCACTTGTCTTTGTAAAATAGAGCATGAATGTTTATATGCCTATTTTAGGCATATAATTAGATAGAGAATTATTGAATATAAAGTCCTCTTCATCAGAAGTCTGGGCATACTATTCATAATTTTAACTCTAGCACTAAGAGAGTCAGTCATTAGCCAATTTTTCAGATTATTCAGCCTGCAGAACACTTATACAAATAAAATTAGAGAATGCTCTCTGAAAAGTCAAACTTTGTCTTGAATTAAGACCCTCATTTAGAACCTTTAACATTTTAAAATAAAATAAAATATCAATTTAAAAGCTATTCTGCAGCTTTATTCTTCTTTCTTGAGAAAGAGAAAAAAAAATAATTGATTGTTCAGCAATATATAACATTAATTTAATTGGTAGAGAAAGCTTAACTGCAGATGGTCAGTGGCCTTGGGTCAAACAGTAGATTAATTTCTTCTTCCTTTCCCAACAAGCTGGATTCATCCTTGACTTCAGCTCCCCCAAAAGCAACAAAAGATGAAAGATTTGTACATGCCTACCTTTATGTTGTCCAGTTAAATGAATTAATGCTTGTTGGAAGCTTCAGTATATAATGAAAGGTCCTATATGTCTTGTTAAAAATATACCATATTATTACTACATTCTGAATGACCCACATTGTGTGGAACATGGAAAGAAAATTTTCTTTTAAGTTTGAAAGTCACACTGAAAAATAAGATAAAGCTAAGTTAAGAAAGACTTTAGAAAGTATTTTTGATTTAAACTAGCAACACGTTGGATTATAACATAATATTACTGCCACAGAGGACTATTAAGAACATATTTCCTAAATCAAGGAATTGCATTCCTTATTAATTCTAGTTGTCACTAAGAATTGTGTATGCTGAATCTCCTTGATTATATTTTGCTCATGAATTAAAAAGGGCAGAGCCATCAATATTGAAATAAGAGCATATGTTTTGTGATGGGATGATTTGCATACTGTATTTTTTAAATATATGGTTATTGCAGTGTCTAGACATGAGCATATTCTCTTTCCTTTAAAAGTAAATAAATAAATAAATAAATAATAATAATAATAAAAACAACAGAAATAAGGGATAAACATTCTCTGTGTTTTTGTTGTTGTTTTCAGAGATGATGAGAAGTTTCTAACTTTAATTAATTTTTGAGTAACTGAAACATCTGAAAACCAGTCTTCAACATGGAAGCAATATTCTGTGCTTTAATTCAGTTGTATTATCTTATGCCTAAGTAACATATTTTGAAACATGCCAGAAGCATTTACAGGACTCG